CATCTAAACAATATTTTTATTTGAAAGCATGAAATAAATTATTTAACCACTTTTGAGGGATACCTTAACTAGTTGACAAGTTTAATTGTCCGGCAGTTGACACGATATAGTTGGGTAGTTATAGATATACATTGGTGATTGCTACTTCCAGCTTGCTATAAGGGTGGAAGTTGGCAGATCCTTCGCGAAGTTCTTTTGTACTTTTGTACAACATTGAAATGAATTCCTGAAACTTTTGTAATGGTCACTAGTCAGGCTAGTTTGTTATATCAGCTAATTGTATATATAAATTTTCTATTCAGATGTATTGACTGAGGATGCAAACTATCAGGCTATAACCTGGAAGAGATGAAACAATATACTTAATTTATATTTACCATCCTGATTAGGTTTTTAAAAAAGAAATTAAAATTTTCTGACGGTAGTTTATTATTGTAGGCTCTTGATACTTTCAACACAGCTGTCGTGTCCCCTACATACTACGTGATGTTTACATCATTGACCATTTTGGCTAGCATAATTATGTTTAAGGTAAAGACATAGCTCTTGTTTTTCCTTGGCTTCATAAAACATTATTAATTTCCTCCGTCGGATAAATATATAAGAGGGCAATGCACGTATGATGTTCAATATTTTCACTTGCGAATTTGACAAATATTCGTATTCTTTTGTGCATGGATTTGTGTCTGTGTTGTAAATTCTTGGGGAAATCAAAGTTGCTTTGGATGAGCAGCTTTTTTTTCTTCAAAATTTCGAATAGTGTTAACTGTTGTATACGGCCGTTATCTGATTTCATTCAATTATGGAGGCTACTAGTAATAAGTCAATTCTCCAGCCTGCTTATTATGTAATATGTTCATATCTACATTGCTTTGTAGTTAGGCCGTTGTTTTTAGTTCCTGTCATGTTGTCGTGGACTTTCCTTTATTTGTTGTGCTCTTTAGATTCTTCATTTTTCTCAAATGAAAGCTAGCTTTTTCTACCCGCCCCCCCCCCCCCCCC